AGGAAAATGATTTGGAAGACTAAAGATAGCTACACATGCATAATGATAACAATGAAGTATAAATTGTCCAAACAGAACCTTGCTTCATAACATGTACACAGTACAGCCTCACTCTGGCAGATATATTTTTAATTCATGGCACACTTACCAGTACATATTATGTAAACCCTTGTGTTTTCATTTATACTACCAAGTGATATTCATACATTCCAGTGTATATGCTGCCAAAAAATAATAACATCCAGATGAGAAAAATAAATTGTCTTTTTTTAAAGCTTACAAACGAGCATTGGTAATGTACTTGGCTTACATAGATAAATAATGTTACGATAGTATATTTCCTCACTGCTATTTAAAATAGGAACCACTGCTTCTTTGGAATCTTTGGATTACTGCCCCACAGCCCATTGGAAAGGTTTAAAATCAAGTCAATTCACCTCTTCTCCAGTGCAGGGAGAGACTACGCACTGTAGATCTAATCTGGATATTATAAAGTCATCATTCGCAATGATTTGTATCCAGTCAGATGCTTCTCATAGAGATCGGAGGATTAGTCCTGCCTTTATATTATCTTGCTTTCACAAGAATAGAACATGGTCATGGAATTAAAACCAAATTATGGGTCACATAGAATGTCTCATGAAAATACAAAAACTTAGGTTAGGAATTACAACACATGGTTCAATCAAATACAAACAACCAAGAAATAACATTAACTTTGTAGTTTCCTTTCTGGGTTACTGGGACTGAGATTGTTTCATTATTAAGGTCACTATTAGGGGTTGAATACAGATGGAATACTATGCATGCAGGGGACCATCTCTCTTCAATCTAGCCTAATTTTTTTCATGCAGAATGGCCTCATGGCACTAGAACCTATACTACTTCGGGGTTGCATCATTCGGACATCAATATTGTGTTCCCGTGTCAATATTGACGCAACTTATTTTAACTCTAGGTCCCATTCCCATTAAGTCATTAGTGTTGTGAAACCAACATGTAGCTATTCACATAAAGTCTAGCACACATATGTTAGGCAGCAAGTGGACGGTCAGTTCTTGAATTTTATGTGTTGGAAGCAGAAAATGGGCAATTGAAAAGACTGAATGACTTTAAGAGGGATAAAATAGTGATGGCTAGATGACAGGGTCAGAGCATCACCAAAACGGCAACTCTTCTGGGGTTTTCCTAGTATGCAGTAGTTACTACCTACAAAAAGTGGTGCAAGGAAGGACAACAGGTGAACTGATTTCAGGGTCATGGGCACCAAAGGCTCATTGCTGCACATGGGGAGCAAATGCAAGCACATCTAGTCCGATCACACAAAAGAGCTACTGTAGCTTATATTGCTGAAAAACTTAATGCATGATAGAAATGAGTCAGAACACACAGAGTATTGTTGTGTATGGAGCTGCATAGCCGCAGACTGGTCAATGTGCTCATTATGTGCTCATTATGACCCTCGTCCACCACCTAAGGTGTCTTCGCTGGCGACATGAGCATCAGAACTTGACCATGGAGCAATGAAAGAAATTTGCCTGGTCTGATGAACAATATTTTCTTTTAGATCAGGTGTATGGCTGGGTGTGTGGATTGTTTATTGGGGAAGAGATGGCTGCAGAATGCAATATGGGAAGAAGGTAGGCCCGTGGAGGCAGTGTTATGCTCTGGGCAATGTTCTGCTGAGAAACCATTCATGTGGATGTTACTTTGACATGTACCATCTAACTAGATATTGTTGCAGTCCTTTATGGCAGTGGCCTCTTTCAGTAGGATAATGTACCCTGGTACACTGCAAAAATTGTTCAGGAATAGTTTGAGGAATATGGCAAAGGGTTAAAGGTGTTGTCCTGGCCTCAAAATGCCCCAGATCTCAATCACCTTGCAGTTTGCAGTATCTGCTGCTAATGTCTTTGTGCCAGATACCACAGGATACATTAAGAGGTTATGTGGAGTCTATGCCTCCACACATCAGAACTGTTTTGGTAGCAAGAGGGGAACTACATGACATTAGGCAAGTGGTTTTCATGTTCTGGCTGATCACTGTATAGGTGTAGGATGTAAAGTGGCAGCAGTCTATTACCTCCTTTTCTGGCATTTCTAATAGATTGACCCTTGAGTTGCCTCATAGTTCTGCTCCTCTCTTTATTGTAGTCCTGGAGCTGCTGCTATTGATCCTGAGATAAATAGAAGCAGCATTGTCAAACACATCAGGTGAAAAGGAAATACAGTGGACAGTTAGATAATGTATTTTGTAGAGGTGGTAAGGGTGTTGGAGATGGAGGTGTTCTTTTTATTTGGTTATTCATTATGACATTGTATTTATAGAAATTTGAGATCACAATGTTAATGGCTTTTATGATCCATACCTGTTTTATCGTTTTTTTTGTTCTAGGTGTAGTTTAGTTACAAGAACAGTTTTCTTATTGGTTCATGTTCTTGTAAAGCAATTTGTAAATGAGCTGTAGACAGTTAGTAGACAGATAAAAAAAATCAAATTGCTGGATTTAGGAACATTATCACTGTAGCGGAGTAGCAGGGGTTAATCCAAGGATGCTCCACTGGAAACAAAGATTCAGCATACAGAAGTATAAAACACAGCATAATCCCTCTCCCCAAGGACTAGACGACACATAGTCTGGGAGTCAACTGGCTTTTAAAGCACAAGCTCTGCTTTTATGTGTTTTTCCCATGCAAGGGAGGCAACTTCCACAATTATTACAGTATCCAATCACATATCCAATCGGTACCTTCCCCACATCTCCTCCCCTTAGCTTAACAGTTAAACTTATTAACATGTACACATTTTTCCACAATTTTTGGATGTACCCCAAATACAGGGGTACACCTTTAAATGAGGGATCCCCTGGTAACCCTGATCTGGGTGAGAAACATACTCAAAAATCACCCAGATCGGACCAGAGGTTCGGGAGTTATTGAAGGGAAAAGATTTGACCGACCACACGGACACAGTAGCCGAAAATAGTTCCATGAGTTCTGGCCCTGCGGTCGGTCTCAGTTCACTTATAAAAAGTCACGAAAGTCTTTGCCATCCTTGCTTGACTTTGCATTCGAATGAATCCCCTCGTTCGCTGGATTCATCCTACCGAATGCTGGGCTGTAAGCGTGCGTAAGATTCGTCCCTTTCCGGAGTGCTGGAGGTCTTAGCGGTGCTTGGTTAGTCAAGTGTCCAATTTGAGTTCCAGACACTCGACGACCAAACACCGCTGTTCGTGCGTAAGATGGCCGCCGCCACGTGTTCGGCAGGCGAATGGCGGCCGCACACGAACCTCAAATACCAGCCTTTGCAACATTGTTTCCTTAGGTAATGAGGGACACACGACTGCACCGGGGTGGTCCCTCATTCGGTATTTTACACACTTTCGTGGGTAATGCAATGGATGTAGTTTGTGAACCGATTGCCTGAGGATAACCATTCTAATAGCAATACGGCCATTTTAATCCAAGTTCATTCGAATTTCGAAAGTCCTTTCTCAGTCTCTTGGTGGCTATGTTTGCCACAATCACCAGCACTAAGGACTTGAGTAACTTGCAGTCCATATTTAGGTAAACCCATATTTAGGTAAGTGCCATTCCCTGGTATTTTTTAACAGTGACAGTAACAAAACAAATATATATATATATATATATATGTATATACATATATATATATTTTTTTTTTATATGGATTGTTGATATTTCATGTTCATTGTTGATTATCTCCTGCTTAAATCATGTCTTTAATTGAAATTAACAAAGTAAAGAAAGGCCCAAGTATGAAAACTCTACAAAAAGCTACATAGGGAAGTGCACGGAGTAGTTATCTTTGCATAGTGTACCAAATTACACATAACAAATACCAAAACCACCCAGAGATAACTGTATATTACACATGGTGTTATCTCATGTTATCAGTATTGTTACTAAATGTTTTTGTTTAGTAAAACCGTGAATATTTACATTTTCATTTATGTATATGTGCCATGTATTGATAATTTCTCCTTTTAAAAGTGCCTTTTACATACTCTGACCTGCTGGAGTGCCGACTGAAGATGCCTGCAAGGTGACACATAAGCGGCAAGCTCGAGACTTTAGGAAGCCTCTGATACAGAGGCCTTCTGTTCCAGTCATTATTATTACAAAAAAGTAGAATTGTTTTTTCAGATTGAACCTTTATTATTCAAGTTCCAGATTACATTCGAACTGCGGGATTTTTATATCCTAGCAATTCGAATATTTTTCCTTTTCCTTTTTGTCTATAATTTAGGTGTTAAGCCCCAGGACACCTCTGGAGTGTCCGCAAAGGTGTCTTTTAGACTCCCTGGGTGGTGGGTCTCCCTAATTTTAGGCTGAACCTCCACCTAAGGTTTCTAATACTTTTTTTTATATTTTGGAACATATAAAGATAATGCAATTCTAAATGTCACTGAAAATATGTATTTCGTTTTTCAGCTTGATATACGTGGGCTATTTTGGTCGTGGAAATTAAGAAAAAAATTATAACAATTCTACAACTCCCCAAATGAAAAGTGACATAAATCACGTAAAGTTGTTTTCAACAAACATAGCTTTTCTGGAGGTTGATTCTGGGTGACAAGACTGCAATATTTATTTACAGTAAATTTGCCCTTTAAGAAATTACCCCACTTCCTTCTGATTGTATGCTCATTTCACCAGCAGTCTCATTTTGTTATTGCATGACAAATGTATTCTGTTGCAGTTACTTGTGTGCTACCATTTTCATATCCTGTTGCCACAATACCATGTAGATATGAGAGTGCATCAAGGTGTTTACTCACTAAACACAGAAATTCAGTAAACAAATTGCACTACTGATGTGGACAACATGTCCAACTCTGCTTTACTCATACAACAATTTGGTCTTCAGTTTGCTACCATTTGGTTTGTACTGAATCATAATTTGCACAGACTGACATTTTAATATTTACAACACATAATCTGATATCTAACTTTAGATTTGTGCAGAAATCTGGTATAACATTCAAATTAACACAAATTATTATGTTATTCAATCAATAAAGTAATCTGGATCAAAGGCAAAAACTGATGTGAGAAAGGCCAAATTTAATGGGTGCAAGTCTTTTTCAGCCTTAATAACTATGTAACCATGTAATAGTTAATTAGTTGAGATTTCCAGTTAGCCACATTGGATTCAATCAATACAAATCATTCAAATATTCAACTGGCATAACAAGTTTATTAATTTCATATGTGATAAAATGGGAGTCACAGTTTCATATAAAAATACAAATTTAAAAATGTAATTATTGAAATTAAAAGCCACAAATTTACAATACATTTTTACAAAACTAAGAATATAATTTACATCTCTGTACAAGATTAACTATAATATTCAACAAATGTATACTGATTTTACCACTTACTACTGCATTTTCTAATACTAGTTGCCTTCTGTGTTTCACAATATGGCACAATTTCACACAAAAAAACATAATCTAAAATTATCTTTTCCATTTATTTCTGGACCTGTTGTTCTTTCCGTGCATTATATTTTCCAGTGTTTAAAATAAAAGTTTGATTTCAGATCTTTCTTTTTAAATCAAGCATAACTTATTTTTTTGTATTCATTGATATTTCAAGGTGCAATGTATGTTCTATGTTACATTTAGGTTTGCTGTTTTGTTTTCTTTTAATGAAATGAAAATTAGCTTTGCATCATACGTCCACCCTTTCTACCACCTTTTCTCAACCAACAGTGGTTCCATTCTTGCTTCAAAATGTACTGCTTTTGCATTTTTGATGCATACAAAAGAAAGGACCAAATCCAACCTAGACTGTCCCTTTAAACCTTTTGTACAAATAGCATATTTAAGACTGGAGAAAATGACTTAAAAGAACTATAGTTAAACTTTTGTTTTTTGATGTGCTGCATACTCTTCAAAGTGGATTCCCCGGGAAGTGGTAATTTTCATTACTGCACCATTAAAAGAATCATCTTCTATAAGGTCGATCAGTCCTTTGGCAATCAGCGATGGACTACGAGTAGAAAAATATAGAACATTAGCTTCATAGTAGTAAAGCAATTATACAAGAGTACTTTTCATCAGTGATAAAACAGCATGTGCTTGTTCACACACCCACTCTCTCTCTCTCTCTCTCTCTCATATTTAACCCTCATTTTTTCAGTGACAGAGGAGAGACAATGCTCTCCTGTACTTGTAAGAGTTTTAAAGAAAAAAAAACATACATTCTTTTGACATTTTCAAAATGTTCTACTCAGCCCACATGTCCTTTTTAGCAAGGACAATTTGATTCTAGTTTCAGAATGAAATGCATTCTGATAATCTCCTATTAATGCAGTTCTTTTTTTTTCTTAGAATTTGATATACAATATAATTCAAAAATGAGGTCAGTAATTAGTCATCTGTGTAATTGTGTTTTCCATATCATAAATATCTTCCTATTGCCATAAAATAAAAATCACAATTCATAATCAGTCTGCAGTAGACTGAATTTGTAACAAAATGTAAGTCCTTTAGTTCTACCTTTCATATACAACCTTCCCTGGGATGTGTATTGTATAACTTGTTTATGTAATGTTTGATGTTCTCCCAAGACAGTTCTCATGGATGTAATTTAAACAGAGTACGTTTATTAATGTGTAAACACAAAATAATGAAGTTTGGCAACACAATAAAGATCTTTGTCAACTCTTGCAATCTCCTTATAAACAATCGCAATGATATTATAGATATTCAGGTTTTATCCAGAATCTTTCTGCAATTTCAGTTTTAAAGGAACAAACGTGTATTCCCCTATTTAGATTAAAGGCTCCCTCCTAAATTAACTAAATGGATATGTTGAACTCACCTATCCCCCGGCAATACTGATGATGTGATAGGAAAGCAATGGAAGACTAGTGCACATGTGTGCCAATGCTTCAATATATCTCCATGGGGAGTGTTCAGTAACCCCATGTGGAGCGTGGAGATGCTGAATGTTAGTCCTGCAATCTTTGCAGGAGTCCAACCAGGAAGCGCCTCTAGTAGCTGTCTGAGTGACAGTCAATAGTGGTGTTAAGCAGCAGTGTAAACACTGACTAACGTCTTATGTGGGAAATCTGTGAAAACAGGTTTTTGTAGTGATACACAGCACATATGGGAAATTGTTATTAATTAGATGGCCCAAAAGATTCCTGCATCTTCCTTATTTTGAAAAATGTAATGCATATCTTAAAATATCAGGGATAATACAAATTTCATAGAATTGTATTATGTCAAAAGTCTGCTGTGTTCCAATTGTGCCCTGCCTATGCTATGAACAGTAACATAGCCTATTTCACTTTACAAAAACATAGCACAAGAGAGTGTGGTAAATCTGCAATGTATGTAGCGTACCTCCTGTATGTTAGACTCTCTTGCATAAAAGCTAACATTTGATGTGAATAAAGGTGATTAAAGTAAGAATGTTTACAAATGATGGAACTTGGGAACAACTACAGGTGTGTTTTGAAAGACACAAATTGTATGTATGCATTGCTGCGAAGGTGTGACTTAAGAAGAAGTGAAAATTAGGTGGGGAAGACCAATAACCCTTCATCTTCCTGAGAAGGACATTGTGCAATATTACCCCTTCATCATTTTTAGCCCCAGATGAAGGCGCATCTTTGGCGCCAATACGCGCGTAGGTCATTTTTTATACACTTTTTTGTTAAGCATGTTATGTAGTGTGGCACTGTGATTTGGCTGATAGGGGGTCTTGGTGGGAACCTTGGGGATACTATATGTGTATAAACCTGAAAACCATTTTTCTAAGCATGCTTTAGACTACTATACTGTATATTAGTCTATTTTGGGAATATAAAAGGTAGTTTTTAATGATACATTTACCCTTTGATTCTTTCCACCCTGCTTACTATAGTACATTATAGTTACTTTGTATTTAGTGTGCCATTTCATTAAAGGACCACTATAGGCACCCAGACCACTTCAGCTCAACTAGTTTTAACTCTGCAGCTGAAAACATAGTTTCAGAGAAACTGCTATGTTTACACTGAGGGTTAATCCAGCCTCTAGTGGCTGTCTCACTGACAGCCACTAGAGGCTGCTTCCGCGATTATCACTGTGAAAATCACAGTGAGAAGACGCTGACGTCCATAGGAAAGCATTGAGTAATGCTTTCCTATGGGCTGTTTGAATGCATATTCGGCGCTGACGTCGGCAGGAGGAGGAGAGGTCACCAGCGCAGAGGGAGCCCGGCACTGGATTAAGGTAAGTGGCTGAGAGGGTTTTAACCCCTTCAGCCCAGCAGGAGGGGGGCCTAGGGTGGGGGGGACAGGACCTAAGGACTACGTAGTGCCAGGAAAACGAGTTTGTTTTCCTGGCACTATAGTGGTCCTTTAATTTAGTGATTTCAATTTGAATATTAACAGAAGATTCTATTTGATCTCTGAGACTCTTTGTAGCTTTTTTGGCCTGAAGGGTTACCTACAATTAAGGCCCTGGTAAATTGCTCTACATTTGAAATAACTTTTTGTTTCAATTTTCCTGTTCTTAAATTATTTTGCAGGGGTATCACTAAGCAATAGTTACTTGTTTTCTTATAACCCCTATCTAGCATGCAGCCTGATGACTTTTTAATGAGTATCTTTGTAATTTTCCCTCTTTTACATTTTATTTTAGTAAAGAGCAATAAAGTTATTTTTGCTATTATTAATTATTCTTTTGAGGGACTTTTTTTGTCTGATATGCCTTATGGTATACTGAACTATTATTGTCTTCATTACTGTTAGACCTCAATATTTCTTGCTTACAAATGCAATTGATGTGAATTTGGGCCGATCGACTAATCATTGACATTCCCAAACTCCAAAACCAAATGTAGCTAAATCACAAATCAAATGAAGTAGGTAACAGACGAGCATGTTTGTTTTGATTTGTGATTTTAAATTCCAACAATGTCCCCAAAAGAAGAGACGACTGATGAGTATGAAAGATAATTGATGGGGACAATCACTGAATATTAACATATTTTTTTTTCACAGATCAAGTGAGAAGTGAGCAATAGAGGAAAAAACATAGGAGCAGTAAAAAAAAAAAACTATATTCCTTTTAACAAATATATAATACATAAATCTATATTTTTTACTGCTCATCCTTTTTTCCTCTATTGGTTACCTTTTCGCACATGCGAACCAAATGGTGAGAAAATGTTATTTATATTTATATTATTTATATATATATATATATTGCGGTTCATTGGCTTGCCCATTTTTGCTTCCTTGTCTGATTCCTTTCCTTTACCAAGTTCTGCTTTCCTAAATTCTGAGAGACCGTCATATGGCAAATCGTGTCCATCCCATGCACAAGTCTAATTACTATTATTTACGGATAATATATTTTCTGGCAGATACAGAGTTAGCCTCTAGTTTGTTTTGGTTACTGAATTAAAATCTAGGCAAGGCCAAACTTGGCTATACAGAAAATGGAAATAAATGTCGTCCGTAGACTTATTCTGATATCAGTTCACTCACTAGAAGGAAACCGGAGTGGTGTATTAATGAAATATAAAGGACCCCCAGGGGAGGAAGTGCCAATTGTTTCAAAGTCTGAAACAGAAATAGTTCCTCCATTTGCTAGTAATATGCTTGCCAAGTATATAATAAAAAATGATTAATCTAGAGGGGATAATTGTTTTTACAACCTGTAAACAAAATCCGCATTTCAAACATCCCAACTATAGAAAGTAAAGTCAACAGTTTGATATATCCATTCTAATTATTACAGTTCAAGATATCAGGTCTCCTTCCTTCTGATACTGCAATTACTGAAACATTCTTCGCTCGATTCTTATTATGTCTACACAGCTACAAAGCAGTCTGCAGCATGTACAGAAGGCATCCAGCAGGTATTAATCTTGGAAATGTATATAATTAAATGAAAGCATGTTAAATATAAATGTCACACAAACCTTGTTATTGGTTTACGCATTGCAAGAATAATCAGAAAAATCTACAATAAGCATATCGGCTGCTTATTATTCAGTAATTATTAGGACATAGCTCTTCTGTAGAAATATTACTTGAATAAATCACATAGACCGTTATAATGACTCAATCAATGAGAAATATGTAGTTTGTGTAGTGTTTTTAAATTACATGGTCAGTCTCAGTTTATTTTCGCAGGTTGATACCCTTTACATAATAACTAAGAACTATATTCATCATCAGCTGTTCTTTAGGAAACTAACTTCCAATCAGAATAAGATTCAACTGCAATCAAATGGACATTTATTTTAAAGGCTATCGATGGACAATCAGTAAATCAGAGGAAAGTGGTTTTTTGTTTTTTTTAAATTTGTATGTTTAGTGTAATCAACCAGGTCTATCTTAACCAGCCCAATAAGAAGACAATTGCAGCATCATTATCAGTAGGAACAGAGCATTACTTTAGACAACATGTCCCTTTCCTTATAAATTCCAGGAAATAAATAGAGTTGAAATATTTGTGCCTTTTGTAAGAAAAGGTGGCCCTTGAGATAGGTTTCAAAAGTAGAAATGAAGTAGGATGGTTGCATTGATACTCAGGAAATGGATAGGGCAGCTTGAGACAGTAGGATTTCTAAATTAGCTGATTTTAACTTTGCTAGCTGTATACTCATATCCCACACCAGTGCACTTCTACATGCCTGTTAGCAGTGATGGCAATACCAGACAAGCAGCTCTGAGAACCATAAAGTGGGCTTTGGCAAAATCCTGGAGAATTTCCCACCATCCCAACTACCTGAATGGTCTGGCAAAAAAAAGCATAAAGAGGGCATCAAATAACTGCCTCCTAGCCCCATATCTGCCACTTTAGTTAGAGTGTCCATTAAATATTTTAAGGATAGAGCTGAGGGACTGCTCACGTATTAAGCAGGAATCATCTTAATATGTATCACAGAACGAAGTATCATAACTTTTATTCTAGAGAATAACAAAGAGAAAGGTCCGAGCAGTCAATTTTCAATCCAAAGCCGACTCTTGTGGACATAAAAGAACAATGCTTCAAATTTTCACATCATGATGACTCGTTTTAGTCCAAATGTTACCCTTTCATGTCCAATAAAATCTGCTTTCAATTGACCATTGTGTGCAATCCTTCTCTTTGTTATTCAATAAATATATTGGGACAGGCTAATTCATTGAAATTACCTAGTATGTGGAGAACCTATAGTTTTTTTTTATTATATTTTATAAATGAAGAGCCAAGTCTCTCAAGATTTATTTTATGCTGATACATAATTATATTTTTTTCAAAGCAGTAAGTACTTTGAAGTGAAACAAACAGACTTAAATAATAAACCAATATACAGTATGTTTAAACTTACTCTAACACTCCAAAGGATTTCATCATATCTTTTATGTTATCCTTGTATTTGTAAAACTCTCCCATGTTTTCTTCCTTTTCGATGGATTCCAAAAGTGGCGTATCAACAAATGCTGGGCACACTGTATTTATCCGTACACCATAATTTCCAATAGATGCAAGAGCCTATGTAAAAAAGAGAATATTTTAAACTGAAACTATTGAAACATTGGTCAAATTTCCAGTTCTTATGTAAAGATCATAATTAGACTTTGATAATAAACATGGATGTATGATAAAAGGGTTACTTCAACCACTATGATCACTTCAGTAATTTGGTAGTAGGAGAAGGTACGTGCAGTGTTTCAGCTTGAACAACTGCACATCCAGAGTTATTGGCACTTGTGTGCTGGGGGCAAGTTGCACTCCCAGCACTAGTGACATTGGCAGCCCAGAACTCCCTTTGGAATGTCAATTATGTGCATAATTTATGTCTGTTGTCAGGGTGCACTGCATGCTGACAACAAACGTGATAATCTTCCCTTTGCAGGCAGACTGCTTGCAAGGGGAATCTCGCACTCCCTCCCTCTGTGCAACATTGGTTAGGTTTAAAAAAAAACAAAAAAAACAATGCTTACTTTTCTGAAAATGGAGAAGGAATGCCTTCTCCACAATGCTCAAAAGAGCATATTACACTTTAAAGGTCCCCCCTTTATCACAGGTGAATCGATTGAACGTGTCTTTGTATTCACTAAATTGTGAACTGTTAAGAATTCACAAGGGAGTTGCAAATGTAAGCACAAAATAGTGGAAATGGGCTCAGCTATTTTTGACAACAATTTGCAAATTCTTGATGAATTCCATACAATAATTTAATGAATGTTAGTCTCCAGTTACCTGTTACTGCTTCCACTTGGCTAAAAACTACAGTTAGAAATGTTTATGAATTTGTATGTAAATTTAATACCGCTGTTACTAATTATGTCTCTAGCCTGTTAGATTTTGCTGTCCTGTGGTGTAATTTCCATCAATCTCAGGTAGCCCAGCACATGGTCTAATTCTGACGCTACCTTAAGACTTATAGACCCCACAATTTACACAACAGGGCCACATGTTTAAATGCAGTTTGTTTAGTCAGGCATGCCATCACACTGCTACTTATACATTCAATAATGATAATAAAAGTTATATTAAAATGTTTTACTTCAAGGTAAGCAGTGAGTAAAGTTAAATAGAAAAGATAATAGAATAGTTCCATAGTCGTGCCTCTTTAAACACTCTGACAACTCATTTGGTAAAGATGTAATGGTCATCAATTCGGTCGAAATCTACAACCTACTACAGTCTGGTTTTACAACAGAACACAACAATGTATTTAATTTAAACCATATAATATATGGAGTTGAATAACATTCAGGTGCTGAAACCAGTTAACGCATTGCTTACTGAAAGCAAACATATATTATAAACCCTAGTAAGTTCGATATTGCTTTTCTGTCATGATGACACAGGGTTTCAACATCACTGCAACAATTTGTAAGACATACATCATTCGGCTGAGCCATTCGTAATTTACAGAGTCAATATTCTCTGCTTCTCGAAACATATTCATTAGTTTACAGAAGCAATTTTCATGTGACAGTTTATTTGGACAGGGGTGGAATACGTCCATCAGTTGATAATGTGTACCCAAGATCTATAAAGTGGGAAGGAGATACAACACATTCTGAAGTGTCTAAATTAGTGTTCTGGTTTAAATCCCATAATAGCCCTTGCAACCTACATAGTGTAATTTTTTTAATGGTCTACCTATATGTCAGAGGCCAGAGAGAGTTAAAAGAAGGCAGGAATAGCAGTCATTTTTTAGATTTTAAGTTACAATTTAATCTGGGTGCTTTAAACCTGTTGTTTCAGACAAAGCTTTTGAAGAATTACACATTTCAATGTGCTGCATATAGTTATATATTGACAATTTCCCCCAAGTGGCCAACTGAAGCTCTACAGATATTTGTAAACAACATTTCCAATGACATATATTGGCTGGCTTGTATATTAAAGAACTGTAGTTCACAAGCATTGCCCGTTATACTTAGTTTAACTTAGATATTTTGGGCAAAAAACGATTCAAAACATAAAAATGCTCATTTTGCTATGACTATAAATTAAATGTGCCACAATAGAAATTGCTGATTTTTCCATTTCATACATACTGTTCCTTTAGAAATATGCTTTGTACACCAGTTGTATTAAACTAACAAAAATAAGCCTACAATACATTGTTTTAATTGTACTTTGCCACACTATATACTCACAGCTATTGATCTTGTAAATCCAATCACGCCATGCTTCGAAGCACAGTATACTGGCTGATAGGCAGCAGGTGTGAGACCTTTGGAACAGAAAACAAATAAAATGATTCCATTCATGTTAATATAGCAATAATTCTAGTTATATACATGTATTTTCAAATTAAGTTTAAACAGCTATCAAGCAAGGTAATCAATGTACACCTTGAAAACCACAAACTGGTTGCAGCTAAACAGACAGTTCTAGGTATAAATGCCAGTCTCTATGTAAATTATCTAATACAACAATGCTACTGTCAGTGTTTTTACCTGAGATCCACATCACTATCTAATTATACATTTTATATTTGGCTTTTTTACATTCATTTATAACATGATTTTGAGTTATTTTCCTCTGGTACTATAACCCATTAGCCGTAGATTATCTTCTTCATGGTATTTGACATGATATAAATATAACACTAAATATAGGGGTGAGTGTACGTTTATGACCGTAACCGGCATAATGACTCTAAGGACTTTAGTCACTAGTTAAGGTAAATTAGAACTGCAAAATGTAGGCATAAAATACTATTATGCACAATTCTCCAAATCAGATATAGTCACTTTCTGGCTATGTTATACCAAATTTTGCTGTTTAATTTTCAATGTACTACTACAGTTTTGTGTTAACTGTGTTACACTTGTTTTTTAAAGTCTGTATGAGTGTGAATTTTATCTCTGTGATCTTCCGTATTATTGAATTAGAAGGATGTTTACTAAGCAAATAAAAGCTATGCTAACATATGGAAAGTTCTGTAAGAGCAGGATTTGTGTTTGTATTTTATTCAATGCTTGCAATGCCCTGAAAAGTCTTTCTAACCTCAAGTTATTATATGCCACTTAATTATTTGTAAGAACCCTACAAATGCATGAAGGAGGATGTCATTTTCCACAGTATACCATTAGTGAGGAAGGAAAGGCTATTTAGGTTTTAAACTTGCATTGATGACCTTTGCGTAGGAAGTCTTGTTTTAGCTGATAACACAAAATTCACAACAGCACCAAATTCAAGATTTGAGGGTATTGGCTGGCTTAGTCGAACCTTCTTAGGATATTGACATTTTGCAGCATTTAACCTTTTAAATATTAATGGGAAAGTAAATGAATAAACACCTCTTTAAATTTGATTAAGATATTTTCTACAGCTTGTTCTAGTGGCTATGGTACAAGGAAGCTTTTACCACCATCTCACTTTTTCTGTTAAATAGTTTAGGAGCAGATGGACAAAAAACAGGGTTCTCCTCTGTACCTACAGATTGCTCCCTCTTTGGTTGCACTGTGCAGAAACTACAGTTTCATGGAAGAAGTTGGTACATGAGGCAACACAGTTTATGTCTCGTTAAAAAGATATGTTGGCAGGGGAAGGTGGAATTATAAATATGTGTTAGAAAGAAACATTTTGTGTCTGTCATAATTAGTTCAGCTAATTCCTCTTCACCCACACTTATTGAGGATGGGAAATTAGGCTTTTCTTGTGCATGGGGAAAATTTGGTTTGCCAAAATAGTTTTTTCGAAAATAAAATAAAATACATTTTCAGGACAACAGAATTTTGGTCATTTGACGGTTTGACTCAAGAGAATTTTGATACTAAAACCAGATGAACCAAAAGGGAAACTATTTTCTGTTAAATGTAAATATAAGATAATATTATGTATATATTTTGCAGTACGCAGGTAAAAGCTTTTTTCCATCATTTGGATGACTGATCAATTGGGAAAAAGTAACCATTAGAGGGAAAAATATGAGGAGTAGTAATATATATATTTATATTTATATATTATATTTTTTACTGCTCTTCCATTTTCCTATTCTATTGCCCACTTCTCACTTCATCCATGAATAAAATAAACATTTAGTGACTGTCTCCTAGCCATCAATCATCTTTTTAGTTCCATCAATCATCTTTTTTTTTTTTTTGCCACCATGGGCAGAATTCAGAATCACGAATCAGAAAGAACATGTTCGGCCATTGTGCAGCTTGTTTGATCCGTGAATTAGGTTTGATTCGTGATTTAGGTATATTTTACTTGACATTTGACCAATTATCTGATTGACCCAAATTTGGATGAATTGGAGTTCATACTGAAACTAGCCATTAAGTAAGATGCTGTTGATAAGCTATGCAACTAATCATGTTAAGATTTGGGGGTATTTTTGAAAAATAAAATGCTCAGTTCTCTTCAGAGACACACTCAGTCTAAGTTTGTAATAGACTTTCTGATGTCACCCATCGGTTGTGCATTGGGCCATCATTTCCTGGATACCCTAAAAGACAGTCCTGCAAATTATCCTATATTCTAAGGCTGTTATTTAATAACAGCATCAAGGTGAGGAGTTGTACCTCTTTAATATGCTTGTAGTTTCCAAAATATGTGTATTTACAAGTTTATGATGTTGAACATGGCATGGCCTTTCATTGAGTCAGGAGTTAAGTACATGGAATTAAATGGTCAAAGCGCAACAAGTCAATGGGTACTGTCAAATTCTACTCATTTAAGATCTGCCACTGCATGTCTGCATTACCAATATCAATTCTGTTCAATCTTAGCAGTGATGACTGCTTGAGATTGCAGTGGGCTGGTTATGTTGTAGTGTTTATGGTATTTATAGTGCCTTTTTAACCCCTTAGCTGCTAGACCATTTCAACTGTATGCAGAAGCCATTTTTAGGCTTTTGTAAACATTGCAGTCATTGCAATGTAAACATTGCATATTGTAAAAATGGCAGTGTTTTACATTGCACAGATTAAAATGTCAGGGATACTACACCCACACCACTTCATTCAGATTAAGTGATCTGGGTAACTTCTACCATATTGTAATTTATAAAGAAAATAACTATAATGCATTGCACATATTTTAAACTACACAAAATTCACATCTTGCAATGGATGAAAATTCCTTTCATAATATATGCATTATCTACAAATTCCAAGCATGTTTAACTTAACAAGGTAATGAAAAACACCTTGTACAGCCATTTTGTATTTTTCACAAAAATGCAAATTTCTGCAAAGATTATCAACTAAAACCATTTTGTCTTGCATAAGTAACATCTGTTTGATGTCAATTAATTACATAAGAAAGTCTGTAGAATTATGAATAGAGAATCCCTTATCATGACACATGCAACAATTCAACATATGTCAATGAAAGACACATTTGTACCATTATCAGTATGCTGCGTAGTCTGTAACCACAGTGATCTTCCTTATTACTGAAATAACCAGAGAGGAACTGGATCTTAATTTAAACACTCGAGGAAGTGTGTGAATTCTATTCAGTAAGTGAGTAACGTGTCTATCACTTATCCCCATGTCCAGCTGATGTGCACAGGAAGAAATGATGAAAATATTTGTTTTATGAATAAAAAAATAAAAAAATAAGAGGAAATATGGATTTTACCTTGCATGGTATCTTTCATATTAACATAGATATTTAATGGAGGTACCCAGGCAAAATCCATAGAAAGTGTTCAAAATTGAAACATTTTATAATTAGTACATTCACTTAAAGGGACACTCTAAGCACCATAACCACATAATGCTGCAATGATTATGTTGTCCCCAGTTTTCATTTGACATTCCATGAGAAAGTTCACATATAGTTACTGAAACTTTCCCTTATGTTATTTGGTCCATTAAAAAGTCATCACGACTAACAGGGTTATTCACTAAAGTGAGAATTCAAATTGAATTTCACATTTAAGACCAGAATAGCTGAATCTAAAGCATAGCTGACTTAGAGAATTTCTGCAGTTCAGCTACTTTGACCTTATATTTGAAATTCACCTTAAATTTTAGTGTATAACCCTGTTGGAACTCTGAGTGCCTGGACCTTTTTTCTTTTTTATACTTGGGATGGGTTACTGTGAATTGAGAAATCATCTCTTGTTACCTATGCAACATAAAATGCCAACTCTACGGTGCTGACTGGTACATGAAGAATGTTAATGAAGTGAAATGTTAGTGAAGCAGACTGTTACATGAAGAATGTTAATGAAGTGACAGTCTCAGCCAATCTAGTGCTTTTCAATGTGAAAGCATTGTGATTGGCTCAGAACAACACTTCTGAAGATGTCAGCCAAGCAGGCAGATCACGGGCAGAGCCAGCACCAGCAGACAGATAAAAAGTTAAGATGTTGCTATATTTAGGGTGCAAGGATGGGTCAGGGGGGCTAGATGTTTTTAACACTATAGGGTCAGGAATATCTGTATGTGTTCCTGACCCTATAGTGTTCCTTTAAGTAAGATGAAAAATCTATCCATGCTTTAATGGAGATTGGTATTTTCTCAGGGATACGTAAAAATAAATTAAGTTGAACAGATGAACTATAAAGCATTTTGACTGGAAATTTATTTGTCTTATTCTGTACCCTTCTTCCAATTTACATACTACAACAGGATGCAGCCATTATAAAAATCAGAATTATTGTTACAATTTAATATAAGACATATATTAAAATATAAGAATAAACTCAGTGTCATAAAGATAAAGCTGGGATTAAGCCATATGAATCACAACAAACTATCTAAATGTAAAACTACAGACCACATAGTGTATCTAAAGACTTCAATGTTTGTAATTAAGAGATAAGAAGATGAATCAGCTCTGCTTACTAGCAAGTGTTTCGTGCCTGACATTCTATGAACTATAAAACAAGTGTTAGTTGAGGAAATGAATCTACCACTGAACTAAAATAATGCTTACATTTATTAAGAATGTGCAGTTTACATACCTGCACACATTTGAGGCAAAATAAAAATGGAAGATGCACACAGAGGGAGACTATAAAGTCCTAGCAGGGCTACAGAATTAAAAAGCTTAGCCCAGTTTGTAGTTTGAAGACCCTATCCGTGTATAGTGAGGAGAGTTAAAGGGCCATTGTCACAGGGGTGCTATATATTATTAACACATTCTAGGATATGCAATTATGCACTTTACAAAACCTTTAAATATGGAAGTGGATTGTTAAGAGCAGGGAGATGTTACTTATTTAAAGGATAGCAAGGGTGGACGTGAAGAGTTCCCATAATTATTTTTTAGGAAATTACCCCTTAACATAGCAAGTGGAAGAGGAGAAACGGGGACTATGTTTCTCTTAGCTTCATTAGCATCATGTGCCCTGATTGTGCATGAACTGAACTAAATTGTATTGCCACTTGCTAAATATTTAATATACATTTAAAAGACAAAAGGGTATCTCATGAAAAGCTTTTAACTGAAGTTATAGGTGGTTTTTGATGTTTTATTCTTTGGTTTTATTTCCAGAGAAGTGACAGTTCCACTTTAAAATCATTCTGTCACGAGGAGGAGCCTGACTACCAAGCAGGATGGACCTGCTTGACAAGCGCTGTGGGTGGCGAGGGAGGCAAGGAACATTTTACATACTGTGATCCTTCTGGACAGCTCCACTGTGTGTCCTGCAGTGACCCAACCACCGGGATATGATGTCATCCCGGCATTGGCATCACTGGTGGGAATGTGAGAGAACTGTGCAGGAAGAGCACAGAGGTTCCAGCCCAGAAGCAACCACTGGCCATCAAGGACAGAGGATCCATTCCTCCCTTCCCAGAACATGGTAGGGAGGCTGGGTGGACCTCTTTAGTACTAAATGTGTGTATATGTGATTTTTGTTGTGTGTGCAGGAAGGGGGGTCTGTGTGTATATCTCTGAGTGTGTGTGTGTGTGTGTGTGTGTGTAAGTCAGTGGTTATGTGTATGGGTCTGTAATTGTGTGTGTTTATCAGTTATTATGTGTTTGTATGTATGTGATTGTGTGTATAGGTGTCTGTGATTGTGTGTGGGTATGTGTGTACATCTGTGATTTTGAGTGGGTATGTATGTGACTGTGTGTATAGGTCTGTATTTGTGTGATTGTGTGTAAAAGTCTGTGATTGTATGTGTGTTAGTCTGGAATTGTGTATTTGTGTGTGTATGTATATGATTGTCTGTATAGGTCTGTGATTGTATGCGTGTGTGTGGGCCTATGATTGTGTATGTATTATGTGTATAGGTCTTTTATTGTATGTATGTGGATCTGTGATTGTGTGTGTTTGTACATATGTGATTATGTGTGTGTGTGTTTATGTATGTGACTGTATGTATAGGTCTGTGATTGTATGCATGTGTGTGAGTCTGTGATTGTGTGTTTAGGTCTGTGATTATTTGTGTCTGTGTCTGTGTTTGTTTGTGACTGTATGTATAGGTCTGTGATTGTATGTTTGTGTGTGGGCCTGTGATTGTGTGTGTGTGTGTGTGGACATCTGTGATTATGTGTGTGTGTGTATGTGACTGTGAGTATAGGTCTGTGATTGTATGCGTGTGGGTCTGATTGTGTGTGTGTGTGTGTATGTGCATGTCTGTGTGTGTGTAGATCTGTGATTATGTGTGTTTGTGTGTATGCATATATGTGACTGTGTGTAAAGATCTGTGATTATGTGTGTGTGTGGGTCTGTGATTGTGTTTGTGTGTATTTGTAATTATGTGTATAGGTCTGTGATTGTATATATATATGTGTCTGTGATTATGTATGTGCATATGTGTGGTTGTATGTGCATATGTATATACATGCATATGTGTTTAATAGATAGCTCCCCAAGTTGATATCCTTAAATATGGCAATCCCACATAAGGATAACAAATAAGGGAGTTATCTACTAAACAAATGTAAGAAAGGGGCTTTTGAAGATTTATTATACAAATTAATTATACTATAGATTTTATTTGCGGCACAAGACAATTCCTCTGCGCTCAATGATGCCAAAAGGTTGGACACCCATGTTCTATATTATCTTGTACTCAGACAAATAAGTCTTGCATGTTATATTATCTCCAAAAATTGTGGATTTCTTCTATATGTCACGTTTTTCTCATGTATTAATTGTTGTTACTTGGCTGTTGTGGCAACTACTTAGCTGTTGTGGCAACACAAGTGTCATTTTTCTTTGCTGCACAATATAAATAAAGAATGTAGAAAAAAATCATTACGTCCCATGACAGTCATAGACAATAAAACCCATGTGTCTGGATTGCATAAACATAGCATCAACGTTAAAAATGCTGAACAAAAGAACTGCATTTATGTCCTCTAGCTATGCTAGCCATAGTCAAAGACAATACACAAACGGTATTCTCTAACCAGGGAATAGGCTACATTTTAGGCCAAATTTGCAGACTCAAAAGAACTCTCCAGCTGAGTTATTGTTCCATTTCACCAATACTGGCCTATAATTTGCAATTCCCTAGTCAATTATTGACATCTATTGGTGAATTAGTGAATGTGACTGCAAAATGTCCTGTAATCAATGTGACCCAAGTCAACCATCAAGAAAAACAGCAGAAAAAGAACTACAGATGTTCTAAAATGGTAGCTGAGTTTCAAGGTTAAACCAATAAGGTTTTGGGATGTATTTATCATTATTCATTAAGAGCTGCAATTATTTTATTTTTTTCAAAATGTGTCAAATAGGATTGTTTATTAAACAGGGAATTATGGAGAGTTGACAAGAGAATTGCTATGTGTAGGCCATAATAGCCACATTTCTGAATTAAAATGTATGTATTTTCTCACCTTTGCTATTTTGGCCTTTAAATTGTCAATAACTTTTTACATTTACACTTCACTATTCGATTCCCAATTTTGTGGCCCACCCTGACAGTTTACTCAACATATGTTGGCTATCTCATGAATGCAGAAGCAGTATCTATCCCAAAGTTTAATTTGATTATAAGTTAAGGTATACTTATTGACATTGCATATCCAACCTATAAAATTATATTGATCATACCACGAGAGGAATGAATATAGGTTTGTTGCTTGGCATAATAAACAGAAAAATTGAACTATTAAAAGTAATCAATGGTTGATTCATTTCACGTGTAGCCTATTACCTCTACAGACTCCCTACTACAAGGAGTCACGCATGTGCCAATCTCTATGTGGAATACAACACAAGATACAACTGGTGTGCACTCACAGTTCCACAGGAAGGATTGTTTTAATATCCCTTATGTACTTAATCCACTAATCTATATATTCTTGTCATTTTACATTTTATTTACCCAGCTCTACATTGAATAAGTGCCACATTTAGATTTTTTTGTGTTTGAGTTTGTAGTGTCTGTACTGTTACTATGGTTACTGTTTAGGCAGAGACAGAGAGAAGATGAAGTGCAGAGTACTGCCATCAATAACAAAATGTCAAAAGAGAATATATTGGATTTTTGGTTTCTCATTAAACAGCAGGATGAGAAAACAATATGCAGTACTGCATTTTCTTAAATCTACAGTGTCCAATCAAGTATCTTACCAGCTAAAGACGAGATGTTGATAATAACACCTCCACGACCTCCATTCTTTACGTTCATGAGTTCCAAACCGATATAGGTTCCTCTGATAACTGAAATCTGAAACAGAAAGAAGCAGGAAGAATAAATTATTTTATTACCTCAAATTTGATTTAAACAGAGAGACGGAGTGCATTACAGGAGTGCATTTTATGAAATAAAAAGACACACAGACTGTTCTAAGCCTCTGTACAAGCCATAAACTCCCTAATGCTATCAACATTCGCAAAGGTTTATAACCTAATAGGCACGAGAAGAGAACACACACTGCCTCCATCAATCCATACAACTGACACTGCAAAGCAAAAAATATATATAAACAAAAATCTAAAGCAGAAGTGGAATTAAAAAATTCTCAAAATGTCCAAAATAGCGTAATGGAGGACAAACCATTACTGAGGTTAAGATTCACTATTCAACCTCATTTGTTATCATAATCTAGATTTCCGTTTACCTGCTTCACAGAATATTAAAGAACCTCAGATTTTACATTTCTATAGGTATTTTGTCAGTGGCACTGGTGGTTAACTGCATTTGCACTTTGATAAACAATTTACACAAATACAGAACCTTTCAGAAAATTACACTTTACAAGGGTTTATTCACTGAACAGTGCATTGTGGTAATATAAATATCCAGTGTGAAATAGCCAAGAAGTAACTGGAGATATTTTTAAGGCCTTTGGTCTAAAGTTTTCAAGAATTACAAGGTAAAAAAATAGACATGATAAACCCATACCCCACTGATATATATTTTATCATATCATCTTCAGTGTTAGGTGATGAAGGGAAAGGACATTGTTTGGTTACTGAAGAGCATCTGCAGGACCTGGTTTATAGGAGGTTCTGGGGATCTCTGTTTACTTCAAGGGTGGGGATCTGGTTCCACTACTATTACTAGGTATTTTTGGGACCACATATGATTTGTAAGTCCTTTATCTACCATGCACTACTATTAGTTTAAGAGTCCTAAAGGACCCATATTTTGTTTATGTGAGTAGAACATTTATTTTTAGAACAATATTTTCCCAAATGAAAGAGATTGACAGTTCTTATGCCTGTGCAAACAACACTGTGTACATTCCTTAAATTCCCAATGGAAGTTATCATGCTAGTGTGATCTTAGGCTTGATTTTCTCAGTGTAAATGGGAAAAACTGGCAGTACTTATACTGCTTATTAAACCAGTTCAATTTGTGATGGCTTACCATACTTCCTAACATTTAAAATGGACATTTTCATTTTAGGTGGTGGAGTAGCAGAGTAACCAGGGGCAGGGCTATTCTCAGATATTTTAGGAGACTTACTAATAACAATTTTTTGTAACTAAGATGTAACTTGGAACAAGAAACAATGTATTTACACAGACTGATCCCTAAACATATTTTGTAGTTTAAAGACACATTACTGGGGGTATTATTTCAATGGAGCTCTGTTATACACTCAGATACACCAACAATAAGGAATTCTTAGAAAAGAGCAACGTTCGAATAAAAAAGAAGGGAATTGGTCCAACATTGTGATTTTTCCTACAAAATAGGGATACGTGGGGGATATGGATTTCTGACTTTGGCCTTAAATGCAGAATTTCTGAAAAATGCAATTTCACAAGCTAGGTAATTACCTGAAACTGATAAACACTTCCTAAAAATCATTCATGCCTGTCAGAGTTTGTCAAACGTTGTCCAGAAATGCTAATCCTTTTTATGTCTGAACAAACCACGCTCAAGCTTTAAACATTTTGCTACTATCATGTCATGGGTGTTGTAAATCCTTAATGACAGCAGAGCGTGCTGTTTTTTCCTTCTTTTGCGTGTGATGTTTAAATATGCTTAAAGGTCAGAAAAGGACACAATATGATTAATGGGATTTAGTGAGAATATTTTTGTTTTTATTACTGGATGATTGCCCCTGTTTCACAGTCCCAGCTGTACCTACTTCCCCCCCTTTGATATTTTAACCCCTTCAGTGCCAATGGCTTGCCTAACTCTTCTGCATATAACATGTTCACATTTTTCACATTTAAACTGCATGTGAAATCAGAACTTTCTTATTTTTTACATTGGGCAACAATTTACAAAGGGGTCGCTAAGAGGGGATAGTGGGATGAGTGTTACGTTGCAACATCAAGGAATGATAATGCTTTCATTGGCTAAAATGATGTTACATGCATATAAATCAATGTACATGTCATCTGAGTCCCCACATCAGTTGACCTCTTCCCCGGAGGTGTTTGTGCTTATTCCAGGCAATATATACTTTAGGAAAACTGCACTGTTTCCCTTAATTCTCCAAGCCTGCTCCCTGTCATTTTGGGGACTTCTTTAAGAGTCTGAGACATTGAAAACTGAGCCAAGCATGCCCACATCTCTGAAACCCCCATTTAGCAGGAAGGGTTTCACAGGAAGGAAGGGTTTCACAGTTCTCTCCAGATGTTCTCCACCACACTGCCATGCTGGGAAGTGATACGGTGCACTGGTTGCTGTAAGAGACTCTGAGGACTGTCAGGGAGCTGAAGGTGCTGTTACTGTGGAGGAACTATGATAACAGTCCCACTTGCAAACTTATGCCACACTACCTGCAATCTTACAGGTCAGTTTGTTGGTGCACCTCTCTCAGTGTGTATCCTGTGCATTTGCAATGGACACGTAATGATATGGAAAAAATGGCTGACTACCAATTTGCTTTAAAAAAACATACACTCACTTTTGTACTTTCCAGGCGTGATCCTTTTGTCTTTGTACAGATATTAAATCAGGCTATAGGTATTATGGCCTCAATTCGGAAGGCACGTTGTGTAACACACAAGGTTATTTAATAAAGTAAGAAATTAGAAATTTAAGATCAGAATAGCCAACTTGGAAAAAAATTGTCAGCTTTTGTTCCATTTCAGCTACTCTGGCCTTCAATTTGACATTCACTTTGAATTCTCATTTTAATGATCAACCTTAAGAACCTATTTTCACGTTCACTCCGCTGAAGCCCTACTCACTCTCTTAGAACACAGCAATGTGGAAGTCTTTCTTCTACAAATTCCATGGTTGACGTCACCAGCCCCTATTCCCAGTTATATTGAAACTTGTTTTGTCTACTGCATTATCAACCATGGGAGACATAGCAGCAGATGTTCAGATGTTCAAATATTCAATTGAGGTTATTTATTTGTTCAACAATTAAGTCTACTGGTGCTGACTACTGCATTTCTCTAAAATGGCAGTGTTTGCAATGCTAACACTGCAGAGACATGCTAGAGACACCAGAACCACTACATTAAGCTGTCTCCATTTACATTTGAAATTCAATATGTATCCAGTTTAAATTACGTGCATAACCCTGAGAATATGGACTAATAAAACCAAAAAAAAGAAAACATATACAAAAAAAAATATCCAGAATAAAAATCTGCAATCTTTAGAAAATGTAGATAATGTGGAAACACATTAAACACTCTAATAAGAGTGCAGTATTTATCCTGTTTAGAAATGTAATGTAATAAAGTAATAATTAAAGTAAGTACAAATATATTCTGTTTATTTTATGCACCTCTTTTTTATAAAAATAATTGCAAAATATAGGTTGGATTCTAGTTATGCGTCTTCTTCAGGACAACAAACATCACATTACGTTATACAAATTGAAATGTTCAAAACAATTACACTTGTAGAGCCTTTAAACCTAGGCAAGCATATACTGGATTAGTGAGTGTTGTAAAAATGATTTAATATGATGTGAAACAGGGAGTATCCCAGGTAAGCAGGAATGTAATCTATTTTCAATTAGGGATTGGCATATTTACAATCGTTGGACACTGATTAATTTTTTTATAAATGTATAGGCTGACATTGATGGACATGAAGTATACACAGTGTAAAATAATGTAAAATGCAAAACAAATTCTTGCTGGAGAGTGGACACAGTACACATGGTTACAGGAGAAGAAAACAGCAGCAGACACAAAGAAATATGGGCCTCTGTGTACAGGTATTGTCGTATCTGTATGCAAATGAAATGTGGTTGAAATCATTTGAAAGTCAAAATAGATTTACAAAATTGGTAGTGTTTGTGCTTTTAATGCTGCTTATATCATATAAAATGACTTTTTTTCTTAAAAACAACTCCAGTAATTAATGGCTGATTTGAGACTCCATAGTTGGGAGTAGGTAACTGCCCTTTGTTTAACATGCTAGATCAAGTGTTTTTTTGGGTGTAATGATCTTTAAGAGTTGTATGAATGGATGTTATGTTATAGTCAGAATATTAAGATTTAAAAGTGCACCAACATTAAAACTATGGCCACACTGGAAAGAGAATAAAACTTGATGAGATCAATTTTTATTCAAAGGAACACTATAGTGTCAGCAATGCAAACACGTACTCCTACCACTATAGTGTTAAAGATACATTTGAGGTTCCCCCCTCTTACCTTCTTAAAAAGGGTGAAAACATACCTTTACTCCAGCACCTATATGGGTTTCCTCATACCTGGCTCTGCCTCCTTGGATGATATTCCCAAATCTGACAGTCTCAGCCAAGCCAATGCTTTCCTATAGGAATCCAGAGCACTGAACATCAGTGCTGCACACTGTGCAGCACTGACGCAGGAAGCACCTCTAGTAGCCGTCTGAGTGACAGCCTCTAGAGGTGTACCTATGCAGTAATGTAAACACTGTATTTTCTCTGAACAGGCAGTGTTTATATCAAAAAAAGTCTTTAGTGGCTGGCTAATTAAGAACATTAAGCTGCAGTTGTTCTGGTGACTATAGTCCCTTTAATGCATTCATATGTATCCTTGCGAAGCACAGCTTTAGCTTTGTAAATGGTTCATATACAAAATCAAGACCATTGACAAGACATAAAAATTGTTTAGATAGTAACATTCCTATACACAATTCAAAAATGTCTCTGCTTTACGTGAGACAGTTCTGAAGAACACTTTTCGTCTTCTAGAAGTCTGTAAACAGACTGATGATATCGGATATCCATATAATGAATTTGGATTTGTACCTTTTAAATGTCCACATAGTTTAAGTTAATTTATTTCTACAAAGTGTAATCTCTGTGTTTCTACCTTCAAAAAAATAGCTTGCATAACAGCTTTGTTCATGGTTTTTAATAATAGGAGCTCATTTCCCCAGCTCAGTCTCCAGATTTGTCAAGTCATACGATTTGACTGTGTGACACCAGAGAAGGATTAACCATAAAATTACCTTAGGCAGCCGCCTAGGGTCAAGGGGTTAGACAGGGGCTCCTGGAACCACGAATTAGCCTGACTCCATTCACTATCCTTATGTGAAAAACAAATGGGGGCTCCAAAGAAGTAACCTGCCTAGGGCCCTGTGGGATTTTAATCTGTCTGTTTGACACAAGATGCACACCGTCCGCCTGATTACTGACAAAGCTCCTATGTCATCTAGTATAAGGAGGACTGGGGAAAGTGCAGCACAGAAACATGTTTAAAGAAACACTATGGTCACCCAGACCACATCATCTCAATTAAGTTCTCTGGGTGCTGTGACTGTCTTCTTAACCCTGTAATGTAAAACATTGACGTCTGCAGTAGGGTAAAGTCCACCTCTAAAGGCAGTAAGTATGACAACTACTAGAGCGGTTTCTGCTGCATTGACCATGTAACACTTGGTCACATGATGCAGAAGCCCTTTAGGAAAGCATTGATCCTAATCTTTCCTTTAGGGAAATATGAATGTGAATACGGCACTTAACGTGCATGTGCATTAGGTCCCCAAATGCTTCCCTACGAGGAGCCTCTTCTGTGAAATTGGCAGAGATGTGATGTAGCAGCCTCGGCACAGGAAAAAGATTAGTAAATCTTTATTTTATTTTTTTATTGCACCAAGGGTACCTGAAAAAGAGTAGGGACAGATTTGTATTCCTAACACTCCCTGTGCTAAATTTGGGGTAAAATGTAGGACATTAAACTTCAGTGAATAGGTAGCCTGTCATCCTGGCGTGCATGCATGCATCCTAGTATGAGAAGCCTCCTTTCATCATCTGTGATGCTAACTGGAGAGTAGCTTCTATTAGGTTACCCTATAGATTCTCTCATTTTTTTTATGAATATGTCAGCAGCAGCTGTTTCAAATAAATCTATGAAAGCGTGTGTTTCTTTGGACTTTTATGGTTTGCATGCGTCATACATACACACAATAAAAAATAATTCTGTATGTGTAAAATCCTATTAGCATAGCTATAGCTTCCTTCTGTGAAAATACCAAGCCTGTGGTTGAGGTAACAGCTGTGGCAAATTTGAACAAAACAAAACAAAAAAAACACTGCAGGTATAATTAGCTGAATGAAGGGGGTGGGAAAATAGCTTCTTGCACCTTTATATGCTCCTTGCATGATGTGTGGAATTTCCTTTCAATTGTAGATTTTAAGTAACCTTCATAGTGACACAAAGCACACTGTAATTATAAGAGCTTAAGGGCTTGTTGCTATAAGTGCCAATCTGCTAGTTTCATGTTCTGTAGTGGGTCTGAATTCAGAATGTAGGTTTCCCTGGAATTTGAACAGCAGCACACACAAGTGCAATGCAACAGTGATCTGTAAACATTTCAAGTGCTAGTTTCTTGGCTCGGCAGAGGCCCATAGCAACGGCTATTTAAGCATGCATTAAACTGTGATTTAGCAGGTCAGGCTCTCAGAGCGAAGAATGTTTAGGTGATTTTATTTTGGTGGCTGAAGCAGAATTAACACATTTTAATAATAATAAAAAAATTAATTCTCCTCCTCAATCCCTAAATTACAACATGATAATATTACATATGTTGTCTATCTCTAAGGCATGCAGCAAAGTACTCAATAATTTTATAGAGTTTCATTTTGGCTCCCTATATAATTTGGAAAAAGAAATCACATTGAACACAAGCACAGTCTGAGTTAGACTAACAGACTTACTTGCTGCACCTATGGGAGTTTCTCCACTTGGTTGATACTGATAAATCAGTAACCACTAGGAGGCATATCTGGCAAATAACTGATTATCACTAGCAAAACACACAGGCCTGCCAATCGTATTTATTAAATCAACAACATATTTTACAGGGTATTCACACATCTCTCTCACATGCCCACATTATGCAGTCTGCTGCTTAGTTTTTTCATTACAAGATGTGTAGTGTGCATCAAGGAGAGATGAGTAACAGTTTATATTAAGATTAATGCCATGTGAGTTCTGTCCCTGTGATCCAATAAAGCTGATGTTGCGTCACGTTGTTGAGCCTATGTACTTTTGTCTTGAAGAATAGGCACATAATGAACATTAGCCAACCTTTTGTTTTGGATTGGTGGAGTTACAGCTGAAATGGACATGATGCTTGGAGTTACTCTTTAAAGCTTGTCACTCCATAGGTTACAATAGGGGTCCATTAGAGGCCTCTGAGTACAAGACAGCAATAGCCAAGTCAGTGCTTCATTGTGGAGAAAGGATACCTGGGATTCATCTTCTAGTCTAGGGATATGCAACATTTGGAACTCCAAATGGCAACATCTCTAATAATGCATTTAGATGGACACCACAGGCAAAGCATCAGGGGAAATGTAGTTCACATCTGGAGTGCCAAAAGTTGCTTACCCCTGCGTCTAGTCCTTAGTCTAATGCAAGTCCAATCACCATGCCACAATCTACCCTGCAATATATGTCATCTCATATATGAGCGCAGGACTTATCTTTTTGTATTTGTATTAACTTTTTGTATCACACAGCTTTATTACAATGCTGCCACCCATCCCATGTGTTTCCTATTAAGGGTTAATAAGTATATAGGGGTGTATATAAAAAAATACCCTCTCTGTCTCATTAGAGATATCTTTGCCAAAAGCTCAAGGAAGTAAGGTGAAGGGTTAGTGTAGGACCCGCTTAGGGGGGTCTGCCTTGACGTTGGTAGGCGGACATTCCCTCCAATGGCCATTGGAGTAACTAAATGACCTCCATTTGTTTAAATATACATAGGGATTAAGGAGAGAGTGCAGGTAACATTTTTTTCTTTGGTTTTTACTATATACATTGGGGCTGATGTGTACCGTGGTCGTTGCTGCGCCCAGGAGTGATGGGAGTAAGCACAGGACTTATCTTTTTGTATTTGTATTCACCCTGCAATATATGTTGAAGAGTGATGTCCCGAACGGTTCGCCGAACAGTTCGCGAACGGTTCGCCACGAACGGTTTGCCGCGGACCAGGAGGTGGGAAGGTCTGGGAGGGAGGGTATGCTGCTGATTGGCTGGAATGTGTCTGCTGACTGTGAGGTACAGGGTCAAAGTTTATTCAATGATGAGTCCGTGGCGAACCGTTCGTGGCGAACCGTTCGCGAACCGTTCGCGAACCGTTCGGGACATCACTAATGTTGAATAATCAGGTTCCTGACTTCACTAGTGCTCCAGGCATCTAGTGCCCCACATATATGCTTAAAGGGCCCCTACAAATGCAGCAGGAGTTAAAAGAATCCCCAACCTTTGTGCAGTCTGTGCAGGATATACATCTGTCAATAAAACCACAATCACAGTGTTCACCTACGTAATATAGGGCTATCCTTAGTAATAAAACCTGACCCATGTTCAATAAAACTTACCAAGTTAACTTCAATTGTTTTCTCCCAGTCTTTTTCATTGTTCACTCCAGCATTGTTCACCAATATGTCCAAATTTCCAAAATGTTCCATTGTTTTTTGAAAGGCAGCTAAATTGTAAAAAGGGGTAAGGGCAGTTTAATATCATAGTCATTAAAAGTTTTTTTTTATAATTTGATTGTCTTATATGATATTGATAAGATTTAAAAATGTAGTTTGTCTAAGATAAATAAAAAAAAAAAACCTGTTTAAAAACAAATATAAAGGATTACTCTAAGCACCATGACAATGTTGCATCATTGTAAAGGTTATGGTCCAGAGAGTATCCTGCTCCTTGTCTCCTGGCTTACTGGCTTAACCCATTAAGGACCAAACTTCTGGAATGAAAGGGAATCATGACATGTCACACATGTCATGTGTCCTTAAGGGGTTAAGACAAAATGTGCTGAGACTGGGTGGGAAGGCTCTTGATGTCTCTTTCTGTCTGGAAGGGGATCTTTGCAAGTAAGCAATATTTATTTTTTCTTAATTTTTGCATAATTTTAATGTAAGGGGGGGGGTTTAACAGGACAATAAAGGCAATACTGCATTCTAAAATTGGGCCAGGGTGGGGGGAGGATTTGTCATATCTTGCTTATTGTGTCACTTTAACATGGTTCCCTTACATATGACATACCTTTGGAACCTAAGATTTAGGTTTTAAACAATGTGACAGTTCATTATCAGATTTTATATATGAGACTATTCTGCCTTCTACCAAGTATTGTATAATTATTAACGCATTTGTCCTGAGTTCCCTTTTACCCTTATGAGATTGCTCGATTACTAGTGTCATTTATTACGCCATCTGTTATTTTGTACTTTTCTCCACAACTCAGTAATCAAAACACGCATCATTCATGTTCAGCAGATTTTTACTTACCGCACAACTTCTTGTAAATGTCATCAGACTGTTAAATGCAATTACCACGGATTATTCTTTTGTATTTCATATATGTCTGTAATCTTTTATTTAATTGCTACTGCATTGCACGTTGAACTTTGGATTGTTTTTGTGCTGAATACACACACACAATCAGAACGGATCAGGTTGTTAAATGTCTTTCAGCACCAGAGGGATATGTGTACACATTGCTTACCCCTTAGCTACTCAAGAGATTAATTCTCCACCCCTCCTTTTTACCTTTGAGCTGTTTCTCATCTGTGACATCACATTGAATAAATAAGGTTCTGTGACTTCCAAATTCTTCATCCAGAGAGGCTTTACACTGCTCACCCGCTATGCGATTCAGGTCCACAAGTATCACCTATGGATAAGAATTAAAAACCAAATTAAATAAAAACTCTTACCTTACAGGGTTACTCTAAGCACAACATCTGATAGAGAGCTAAACGACAGAATAAATTACACATCCAGCTCTAATCAGCCAATAAAAAGAATCCACCTGTTTTACATTTCACCTTGTAAGTCAACTTCTTGTTGAGTTCATTAAATTAACACGGGAAAGCGATGCAACTTATATACAGTTAATAATATATATTATATAGCAGTCTACTTTCTTTGTAAAATCTTTCTATTGAAGAGAAAATATATAGGCAAGCATACAGTTGACATGCACAATGAATTGCAAGCCGTAAATTTGTTTTTATATCATAAAGTCACAAAATATTCTGCAACAATGTATAGCAGAAAAGAAATGCATGATTAAAAAATGACAAACAAAGTTAGGTGAACTCGATCAAGAGGTGCAGGTTCAACTTAAAGGGACACTATGGGCACTTAAGCAACTCTAACATATTTGATAGGTTTTGCCCTCCGTAATAAGCTACATTTGTTTGCATACTCAAATATGGAATGTTTTTGCAACAACAAAGGTTTTGTAGCTTTCTGAGCTTGCTTTCTTATCCACGACGTCCCCCACCCTCTGTTCAATGTGGACAAAAATTAAACCCTGAATTAGAGTGTGTCCGAGCACGCATGGTACATCCTTTGGGCCCACATATACATGCCACCACTACAAAACGATTCTGTGCTATTAAAAGTTATTACACAACATGGAAAGTGCATATCGCAATTCAGATGTCAATTGGTTATATTTTGGGTTATTTTTCAAATATTTTATTTATGTTTAATACTTTTAAACAGATAAATACAAGTTCCTAGAAGACGGTCAGTCCTATCTGTCCTTTAAGAAAATGATATAAAATATGTTTGGGTGCACTTAATTGGAAAGATGGAAAGTACAACGGAACAAACATTGCAAAAGAGCAAAAAAGGCCTCAGTCATGGACTCGTAGTTTTTAAGAAATGCCAAAGATTTGTTCTCCCTAATATTTTCCTGCCAAACAGTAATAAATAGACTTGATACTTTTTAGTAATAGTCCTCCTGGCTTAACAACTGTTCTCAGCAGGCCTGATGGAAATTATCAGTTACTTTTACTTGAAGGGGGGAGGGTTTGCATTCCTTTAAAAAAAAAAAAAAAAAAAACAGACGGAAGATCTAACAGGAATGCGGTTTAAAGAAAAAGTGAGGAAAGCTAAAACATCACTGAGGAGTAAGGAGGTACACAGCCAATTTATTAAAGATTGATGGATAAAAAGATAATTTCTAGAATATGTGACATTCAGTTTCTTTTCTGATAAGAACATTAGATAAGAAGAGGTAAACATGTATTTTCTGAAGAAAGCATCACTCTCAAACTTACTATTTAAAGAATGTAAGGAAAAAAATAAATAAAACTTAACCAAGGTATTTAGACGTATCCCTACAAGTTCTAAGTGAGGGCCAATTCTAGCTGTCATAGATCTTTCTGATTAAACTGGGTGATATCTGAATTACTCAGAGCAAAGATGGTGATCACTGGAACATATTAGTGATTATTCACAAATCCACAGCGATATATTTGGTGTATGATACAGGTCTCCAGAATTATACTGCATCTTCTAAATGTAATAAGATCCTTGGCCAATTCCTACATATTGCTGAAAACAGTCTGTGTGATACTTTACCTGAAAACATTTGCAGTCAATGAAAACCTCAAATATGCAGTATAAGAAAATATTTAACAACTGTTCGCTAGCTTCTCCATTTTTACAAACCTGAAAAAAATGTCCTGATGGTAATACAATTATCTAACAATTGACTTCCACCTGTGAGACGTTAACCTCATCAATATTTTTCTCTGGATAAAAGCCCATTACATACATGGACTGTTGGCCAGGCTGTAGATCTGAAGGAAAGCATTCTTTCTCCAGATCCATACATACACCATGATTTACCTTAGAGACCATCTCCAAAATGCTGTAATAACCTCTGTAAGCAATTAAATCCATACTTATACCCTGATTTGCTTCAGCAGCCAGCACCACCATTTTGAAATATCATCTGCAAACAATAGCATTATTTTCAATCAGGACAGAAACAAATGTTTACTCATCTTCCACAATATCCTCCAACACTTTTGCAGTTATTAGTATTGTATACCCTGTGACTTCATTTCTATATAGTTCGTAACTAATACTTTCGTATTGTTAATTCATGTACAATATTCATTTTAGGAAGAAGATATTATTGTCAAAATGTTTGCTTTTTAGTCTCACAATGAATGCTATACATCCCACCACCACTATACCGATTGCTCCTCTACCGGTATAATTCTCTACAGAAATTCTCTAAAGGAATTCATGTTTGTGGATTCCCAAAATTCCTTCGCATTACTTCTTTCTCCAGATCCATTCCTATAGCCTGATTTCTCTCGGCAAATATGTCCATAATTTTGCTACCACAACCCATCCAAATTCTATTTAGCATTGTTGAATCAATTATCCGGAAAAAAAAGGCTACATCACACCTCTTAGACACAGCCTAGAAAAGGTTGTCCTTAAAAACTCAGAGACTAAGTAAGCATGAGACTTATAATGGAAGCCAAGAAGAGGCCATCAGCCACTTTAGTTAAACTATATAGGTCAGTGACTGAGACTGGAGCGAATGTGCACCAAACAACAATTTCAATAACTCTAGATCATAATGACCCAAACTGGGACGGTGGCAAGAAACAAAACTATCACTACACTAAAGTCTAGTAATGGCTGGATTGTGCTGTAGAGGCTCCTCATCTACAGGACCTGGTAATCTTGTGAGAATTAAAGAAACAATGGAATGGCTAAAAAACTAAACCTGTGTAGAACTTTCACAATTCAGTAGGACAATGATCCCAAGCACATATGAAAAGCCACTCTGGAATGGCTCAAGAAAAAACACTACAGTGTCCCAAAGTCCTGAACTTAATCCTGTTAAAAATCTGTGGTACTATTTGAAAATTTGGTCACAAGCCCCACCTAAACAACCTGAACCACCTGGAATAAATCTGCCAAGAAGACGGTTGCCAATTAGAGTCCAAAGTTGGTAGATAAGTCCCCCCAAAAATTCAAACTATTATTACATCAAAAGGTGACTTGACTAAATAATAATATGAGGGGTTTAAATACTGCCAGAGTTATTCACTTAACCCCTTAAGGACACATGACATGTGTGACATGTCATGATTCCCTTTTATTCCAGAAGTTTGGTCCTTAAGGGGTTAGTTCATTTGAGATTCATTCGCAATAAAATATTTGGACATTTATAAGTATGTATAATTTCAAATACAGAAACCATGATCATGTTCAAGAGGTCTAAATACTTTTGAAATGCACTGTGTCTAGTTAAATACTGTGATATTATTCTTATAAATTGCTGTTTACTAGACTTTAAAAAAAGTATAGCAGTACTCAAAAGCAAAACCAGATGGTTGTTTCAGCGAGAGGTCTTTAGATGATGCAGAGGGAAATACTGAGTGCAACTGTCCTGAACTATTGTCAGTGTTAGCAATATTTTGTAAATGTTTGTAATGCCTTGTAAATATTAGCATTTTGCTAAATTGTTATGATTTAGCCATCTGCGTTTTAGCGGAGTATGTGATGATGTAGTGTAACTTCTTGCAAAAAAATCCTTACTACATTGGTCCATGCAGCTCACAACGCATTAAGGGACACTATAGGCACCCAGACCATTTTATCTCAAAGGAGCTGTCTGAGTTGTCTTAATGTATATGGTGATTGTAAAGCATTGCTTATATTTTTTTATTGTCAAAGGACTTCCTGTCTTCTGAATACTGATTGTAAAGCCATACTGTTTGTGTTGCATATTTTAGTATACATTTCTGTTACTTTTAAAGTAACCATTTGTCTCAATCTACATTTACCCTCTTGATTGTAAGCTCACAAGAGTACCTTGCAGAAGATTGAACGCTATAAATAAGGTTCTGATATTGTTTGGTGTCTAATTATATATCCTCTGCCTGCTATAAATAAATAAATAAATATACAGTCTGGACAGATCTAGTAAAAATATCTTGAATGATAATGTACTGAAATGAAACAAGTGGATGAGATGCACAGGTTCTGATTAATAGCATGTGTTATGTAATACACCAGTTCACGTAAGGTTGCCACACACTCCCTGCTCACCTTGTCATACGGATTATTCCACGGTATCTGTTACTCATTCAGTAAAAGCATGTTAATGAAAAAGTTCATTCTGTATCCAAAGTAATAACTATTTGTTTATAGCGTAATAATTATCATGTTAGGAATAGATCTATACTGACTATACATCTAGACGTTACATTCTTTTTTCAGTGTACCAGACCTACTGATTGCATTTTACTTGTTACATATGACACATACAACATAAAAAAGGTATGTAACATCCTTCAACTAAATTGAAGTACACATTTCTTACCATAAAACACACCGTATGGTATGTCACTAACAATTTAGTGTAGCTTAGCACACACAGATAATCTTGGTAAATATTTCTTAGAAGAACCTGCTACTTGAAAATCACATGTAAACACAATGGTACACAGGAATGTTAGGACAAAAAAACAACAACAACATATGCTACTGGCTATTCTTGAAAAAGTGAATCACTTGGCAAGATATTTGTTCTTGAATTACAGAGGTCGTTTGCACACTATCAAGGTTTATAATAGTATCACTATAAGGGTAAGCAAATCTTTGGTAGATACAGCATTTTGGTTTGTATAGTATTTAATTACATTAAGTTTCCTTATGAAGGTTTAAAATAGTATCACTATAAGGGTAAGCAAATCTTTGGTAGATACAGCATGATGGTTTGTATAGTATTTAATTACATTAAGTTTCCTTATCAAGGTTTAAAATAGTATCACTGTTAGGGTATGCAAATCTTTGGTAGATACAGCATTATGCTTTGTATATTATTTAATTTAATTAAGTTTCCCTATGCAGACGGACAGTTCCTGTATCACATTCTCAGTGGACATCAGTGGAAAGCACATGCACCTTATAAAATATATTTAAAATAATATTATGTCTGCAAACATTTGCATTACTCTTAATTGAAGAGCATTTAAATCCATAAGACATAGTTTAAACCAAAATAGGTGATCTGGAAAACTTTTCATTATACGTATAAAAGCTTCTAAAACTTTTTGACTAATTACATGGTGATAAGGCGCCATGGCACTCCCTGTACCATAACATCTACAGCACATTGTAGTGGTTATGGTGCTTGGCGTGCTCTTTTAAGCAGGCATATTACTGTAATCTTTAAAGTGCATCAAAGTGTTCTAGGTTACTTAAGTGTCCCTTTAGAGTGGAATACTCTACACTTTTCTACTCTTTTTAACTAGAATAATATTTGTACTCGAAAAATGTCTCACGTCATTGGAACATACGCGATCAATGTATTTCATTATTAGTATGCCAACACATTACCTCACCCTGTCTGTTTCTGAAACTAAGTAAATATACTAAATGTCTCAGTTGATATTTTTATTTTATATTTTACACAGCCTATGTTTTAACCAGGGAGTATAAACAAATGAAAGAAATAAAAACACACTACTATTACGAGGTTAACCACACAGCGAACTTCAATAGTATGTGCACCCACAGCTTTTTTTTTATAGAAAAGCAAATATTTGTTGATTATTCAATCATAAAACATAAATCTTCTTATATATTTTTTTTTATCAGTTTTGAACAATGCAAAATTGCCAACTACATGTTTCATAAAGGAATTCCTCAAACGCCAACTAGTTTTCTCAGTGAAAACCAGACACAAAGATACATTTGTTTTTCATGTCCTGTTTCTATAATCAAGCTGTCAACAGCTAAATTTGTTGCAAACGTGGCCGTAGAGATCTATACAAAGTATGTAAGGCAAGCCATTGTTTGGGCACAACTAGCACATCTCATTTGTTTGTCTATGTAAGCTGGTTAACAGTATCAAACATATTTGTTGAGGTGTAAATGAACTTCATTGTTCAGATCAAAGGAGAAGTTTGACCTCCTGTTTACCTTTCATAGAGGTGCAGGGAGAGCTGCTGTTAGCTAATCAGCACTACACAGAGAAGAAAAGCAGCCTAGCTAGCCCTTGTTAGGCAACACATATATTTGCTGGATCTCCAGAACAGAGAGCAAATATTTTAAATCTAAGAAGCATTGGCCAGTATAAAGAGTGAGTGTGTATTAAAATGGCAAAACCTGCTAGATATCTCACATGGTCCAAGAATGGGTGATAAAGGCACACTTGGATACCATAACACCACCCTCAATCTATATTAAGTTGTTATGGTGCATGGAGGTCTTGGACACCATATTAACTTAATTACAAAGAGGTTTAGATGGCACCTGTCTTTCAGGTCCCTGTGTCTCCTCTTCCAGGACGGGTGCTGGGTGTATGTACCTTTTTAATGCATTTTTCTCAATAACAAGCCAGTGATAGGATGAGATCGTCAGCAGACACTCTCAGCCTCTCAACCGGTGCCCAGTGCAAGGCTTCTGCATTGAAACATGGTCCAAATGAGTAGGCGCAGGGAAATGTAGGGTTGACCCATGTGGACCACTTTGGACTGTAACCATTTTTTTTTTACTTCATTGAGACTTAGTTGTTATGGTGCTCAGGGTGTTTCTCTAAGAGATACTTGATCAACTCCTAATTGTGGTGGTCATTTTATTTATTTATTTTGTTTTGGCAAATCACTTTAACCTGTATCTCGCAAGAGGAATAATTTGGGTGCAGCTAAAATACTGAACTCTATGTGCCCTAAATGTACTCACTACTCTGTGCTCCCACAACATGTTTCACATGTTATTTCTACCTAAGGCTAATTTAAAAATCCATTAAACGTTTACACAAAATTCCTAAACATACAAACCGATAAGGTATAGAGGAGTGCACTTTGTGGATAAAAGTGCTCTGAAAAGTACTAACATGGGACAGTCACCATGGGAACCAGTAGAACCTGTTGGTACATTGCATTGGTGACTAGCAAATTCCCCATGTTGGCACTATTTATCAGAACAGACACTTTATACAATAACACCCAATGATACATGCCTTTCACTGTATTTGATCTAGCCCTATTAATATGTCCCTGTATAACCATTACAACTATTAATAGCAATGTAGCAATATGATCACAGCTCTCTGTTACACATAACCATATCTGTTATGATTATCACTGGTTATTTAAGCAGATACGGTTTATCGCAAGACACATCGAACATTTCTATGATTTCTATGATTAAATATCCCTTATGCCCCTGGTCTTACAGTGACAGTTATGGTATCTCATGTCTAATATGTAAGTGTGCCGTTCAGGTAGATGTGGAATGTCTGGCTGCATTCTGATTGCACAGCAGATGGTTCTATGGCTGAATGGCTTGCATTGAATCCTTACCGCAGCTCCCTTGTGTAGAAGTTCCTCTACCATGGCTCTGCCAATGCCTTGAGCTGCCCCGGTCACAAAGGCCACTTTCCCGTTCAGATACATTGCTGCCTTAGGAGTTCTGTGATGTCTAGAAAGGCAGGTAAGTGAGACAAGCAGGCAGACTGTCTTTCCAGCAATGCAGGAGGTCTCTCTGCTCAGAGTGCTGCTATCACCTTCCAAGCTGTATTGTGAGAGCCTGGCTGGTCCGACTGCTTTCAATGAGGTTTGTGTCCTCCCCCTTCTCCTCGAGTCAGTGTATTACGTCTTATCTGTTCTTGTCTTTTTACTCTCTAGGAGTGGGCGGGGGATGCAAAGCATACTTAAATGAAAGTTAAAAGCTATTTATGTGACTGGAAGTTTACCTGCCACTTAGCACATTTATCAGTAGGGTGTTAGCTCACTCAATAATGGGACAAAGCCATGATTGCTTTGCACGTTTTAGTACGTCATGTACCCTCTCCTTTCATTAAGTGACCATACTGTTCTCTCTTTTCTAAGATTCATATTATTAACTCTGCTAAATTGCTTGGATGTTTTTTTTTTTTCCTTCTGATTCAGCATCTAGATTTTTTTTTAGTACACAGAAAAGTTTCCCATGTAATGTTTACCACTGTAGCTTGGCATTTCACCATGTATTCTGTTTCTGCAAACAGCCTTGTGTTTAACCCCTTAAGGACGGAGCCAAATGTACACGTTGGGAACGAAACAAATGTAAACAAAACCTGGCATTTGCGCTACATGTCTGTCCAACCGTAATTCACCTCTTTCATATTAAATACACCCACCCTTATTATATATCATTTTATTCAGGGGAGACAGGGCTTTCATTTAATATCAAATATTTAGCTATGAAACATAATTTAATATGAAAAAAATGGGAGAAAATAAGAAATGTTGTTATTTTTTTAGTTCTACATGACATTTTAACTATCAATGTCATAATACTGTTTGCTTTTACTGCAATAAAATACACATATTTGTATTCAGCAAAGTCTCACGTGTAAAACAGTACCCCCTATGTACAGGTTTTATGGCGTTTTGGGAAGTTACAGGGTCAAATGTAGCACGTTACATTTGAAATTGAAATTCGCCAGATTGGTTACGTTGCCTTTGGGACTTTATAGTAGCCCAGGAATGAAATTTACACCCATAGTGGCATACCATTTGCAATAGTAGACAACCCAAGGTATTGCAAATGGGGTATGTCCAGTCTTTTTTAGTAGCCATTTGGTCACAAACACTGGCCAAAGTTAGCGTTAATATTTGTTTGTGTGTGAAAAATGCAAAAAACGCCAATTTTGGCCAGTGTTTGTGACTAAGTGGCTACTAAAAAGACTGGACATACCCCGTTTGCAATAGCTTGGGTTGTCTACTATTGCAAATGGTATGCCATCATAGGGGTAATTTTCATTCTTGGGCTACCATAGGGTCTCAAAGGCACCGTAACCAATCTGGCGAATTTTAATGTGAAAAAAAATGAAACGCAAGCCTTATATTTGACGCTGTAACATTTGAAAACACAATAAAGCCTGTACATGAGGGGTACTGTTGTACCCGGGAGACTTCGCTGAACACAAATATTTGTGTTTCAAAACAGTAAAAAGTATCGCAGCAATAATATCGTCCGTGTAAGTGCTGTTTGTGCATGAAAAAGGCAAAAAACGTCACTTTTACTGGCGATATCATCATTGTAATACACTTTACTGTTTTGAAACAATAATATTTGTGTTCAGCGAAGTCTCCCGAGTAGAACAGTACCCCCCATGTACAGGTTTTATTGTGTCTTGGAAAGTTATAGGGCTAAATATAGTGCTAGCAAATTAAATTCCCTATACTTTCGGCATGGGTTGTCAGGCAGGTACCGCTAATTGTAATTAATTAAGATACCTAATTATGTAAAAATATTACATAAACATATATGTAGAATTAATATATGTATATATATATATATATAAGTATATATATATATATATATATATATACGTATGTGAATCTATATGTGTATATATATAATTTTTTTAATATTTTTATTTATATATAGGTATATATATAGTGATATATACGTATATATTTATGTATGTAGATATATATATTATTTCATGCTACGTGTATTTTGATATAAATATATATATATATATATTAATATCACAATACAGTTAGAACGAAATAACACACATCTATATATTTAAAAAAAAAAATTTTTAATTATTTTTTTAATTTAATTTTTTAACATATTTACATATGAATTTTTTTTATATTATATATAAATATATATATAACAATAATTATATATATATATATATATTTAATCAGTATCAGTCTACGTGTAATTTGATATTAATATATATATATATATAATTATATATATATTAATAGTAAAATACACCTAGACAGTGTACGTGTGTGTATGTATATGTGTATATTTATACTTAGATCATATATATATATAATATATATATATGATCTAAGTATACATTTTTTTTTTACACTTTTTCATTTATTTTTATTTTATTTCAGCCAGCAGGGGGACCACCTGTCATTACAGGCTGCCCCCCTGCTGACAATGCAGGATGCAGCCTACCCGGCAATGTGATTGTGGGGTCCTCGCAAGGACCTCACTCTCACATGACCGGGGGGCACTGGAGGAGGAGGATCTGCTGCGGGGGGGGGGCTCCCTGGGAGTCCCCCCCACCACGATCGCCGGGTAAGTAATGAAAGACCGGAGGGCGTACAATTACGTCCGGCGGCGTTTAGAGCCGCCTGAAATAGAGCGTAATTGTACGCCCTCCGGTCTTAAGGGGTTAATGAATTCTAAAGATTCTATAGATAAACAAGCAAATAGAAAATGCACCAGCTGGAACTGCTGGCAATCCATGTGCAGCTAAATTAATTCTGATAATTGGCTAAATATTAAGAGTTCTTCTCAAAAGGGGAAAAAAAGCCTCAATGGTGTTAGAACTGATTTATAAGTTGCATTTTCAGTTGAATTTGAGGAAACCACTTGTAGCATTCATTGTGTTGAGCTATTTTAATTGCTTTTGTTTGATTTGTTTATTGTACATCAATGAAAGTCTGTAAATTTTGGCATTAGACCTGCTTTTCGATGAGGGACAATTTTGATTACAACTGTATACATGGATCAGCCACAGTATTGAAACCATCTGTCTAATATTGAGTAGGCCAAGCGTGTTAAACTCGCGGCCCACAATGGATATATTTGCGGCCTATCTGCCCATGGGCCACTTTGTGTTGTGGCTGTGACCAGCCGCAAGACAGGAAAGATGAGAGTGTGAAGGTGTGAGGGAGGGAGGGTGATAGTGTGAGGGAAGGGGGTGATGTGTGAGGGAAGGGGGTGATGGTGTGAGGGAGAGGGGGGTAATGGTGAAAGGGAGAGGGGGTTATGGTGAGAGGGAGGGTGGTGATGTTGTGAGGGAGGGTGATGGTGAGAGGGAGGGTGATATGGTGTGTGAGGAGGGAGGAGTGATGGTGGGAGGGTATTAGTTCAGGGAGGGTGATGGTGTGAGGAAGAGGGTGATGGTGAGAGGGAGGGTGAGGGGGTGATGGTGTGAGGGAGAGGGGGTGATGGTGAGAGGAAGAAGGGGTGATGGTGAGAGGGAGTTGGGGTGATGGTGAGAGGGTGAGGGGGTGATGGTGAGTGGGGCTAATGGTGTGAGTGAGGGTAGGTGATGGTGAGAGGGAGTGATGGTGTAATGGGGGTGATGGTGAGAGGAAGAGGGGGGTGATGGTGAGTGAGGGGGTGATGGTGTGAAGGAGGGGGGGTGATGGTGTGAGGGAGGGGGGTGATGGTGTGAGGGAGGGGAAGAGGGGGTGATTGTGAGAGGGTGTTGGTGTGAGTGAGGTGGGTGATGGTGAGAGGGAGGAGGGTGATGGTGTGAGGGAGGGGGGACTAAATACCTTATTTAATTCTCTGGTGGTCCGGTGGTGATATCCTGTCTGCAGCTCCGCAGATAACGCTCTGATTAGCCAGATCCCGCCAGAAACATGGTCTGCCGCTCTGCACAGCACTATGGAGCTGCAGACCAGCGGCCACGGGCACTCCCCATCCAGGCCAGGCAACCACGAGGGGCCTTGCACCCGGCGGCATATCGAGCAAGCCCCTGGGCCCCTTGCTGGTCTCAGGTCCTCAGTCACTGACCGAGGACCTGACACAGTCTGCCCTAAGGTGGTTTAGGCGGCCGAGAGGCCTTAGGCGGCTGCCTAAACCACTCTGCAGGCGGCCATTTTTAAACTGATTTAGGGCGACCTGTGGGGCAATTGCCTCCCTGCTCCCCGTCCCAGCCCGCCCCTAGCAGCAACTGAGGCACTGCTGGAGCCAGTTTCCTTTTCTCCTCCTGTGTGTGATTAAAGTTTAATTTACATAGCAGTAGATAAAAACATATAAAGATCTGATTGAAAATGAAATCATTTTTCATGTTGGCTGTGTGAGTGACAACCAGTGGAGGTTTGGCTAGGGCTGCCTAAACAGAAACAAAAGTGATTTAACTCCTAAATGGCAGGGCCATGATCTATCTATACACCAAAACTGCTTTTATAAGCTAAAGTTGTTTTGATGCCTTTAGTATCCATTTCAGACTAAAGTAACTGAGCTGTTGTTATAGCTGTGGCAGAAATGTTTTATTTATTTATTTAGAAAATATTTTACCAGGAAAGATACATTGAGATTTCTCTCTTTTTCAAGTATGTCCTGGGTCCACAAATCATTGCATTGTTACATTAAGTTACAATAAAATACAAAAACAATATTAATACACAATAAATACAAAATGTAACATAGAACAGGCAGGAAATAGATAATCAACCATGACAGGTGCATTCTGTTTTGAGATATGTAGAGAGGGATCTCTTAAAGGACTTTAGGCTTCGGGAAGATTTTA